ATATATATATATATATATATATATATATATATATATATATATATATACTTTTTTTAATGGGAATAAAAACTCAGTTAATTTAAACTTAAATAGACGCTGCAGGAATTTTGCGTAAAGGTGGAAAATCAAGTTTAAAAGCGCATGAGGTGCTGTGACCCAAGAACAAAGGCATACTATAAAAAACGCTACGGGAGTGGCTGAGAACTATTTTAAACTGGAAGACACCACCTTTGTCTAAAATACCCGTTTTTATAAGGCGCAAATGATCTCATCTCCCAAAAAATCACGACAAAACATTAAAAATGCGCAGATTTTTTTATTCTTTCAGACACTTTTCTGCGAAGAAAATGTAAATATTTCAACTCGGTTGTTTTCTATTGAATGATTGTGCCACATCGACTAACTTTTAGCAAGTATGTGCTTAACTTAAAAGAAGAGTAAAATAAATCAGCAACACGTGTGAATAACAAAATATGGTGTGGGCAAAATCAACTTAAGTAGGTTTAGTTTAACCAACAATAAATAATCAATATATTATTATATATATATATATATATATATATATATCCTGCATTGGCTTTTTATAATCTTAATATAAATGGGTTAGAAAATTTCGATTGATTAATCTTAACTTCCAGCTTTTATTTTTTTTATAATGTGCCTTTTATATATTTGTTTTTTACTTGCTTGCACATCTATTTTTATTTCTGTTATAGCTTCACTTAACATCTTTTGCGTTCAAAATAACAGTGTGCGTGCCATTTTGGACTATTTTTAGCTCATTAGTGTGTTGTTGATTTATTTATTTTTTTTTAGATAAAATATTCTCAACTCTGAAGCCGAGCTCATTTCAGTTTAGTATTTTTTATTTTATTTTATTTGCGTTTTTAGAGGAGCTAACAGCTCACCGCATTAAAGACCTTAAAATAAGCGTGGTGCGTGAAAAGCCACAGTAAAATCTCTGTTGCCATTTTTTCAAGTTGTAGTTCTTTTTTTTTAGCATTTTACATTAGTGAGCTTTATTTCAAGTCTGTTAGTAAAATTTAAAAAAATCTGTGGAAAGAAACATTGAAATTGAGCACAGAGGTTTCCAAACTGACACGGGAAGCTCGCTGCGTCTTTTTTTGTTTCTTTCCACGCATGAACCCATTCTTCAGGATCAAATCGTGGAAACCACTAAACGAAGGGAAATCTTTGCTCCTTCAAAATGTTAAATCTACGATAAGGTTTTCACCAAAGCCAGTCAACAGAGTCTCTTGTTTCTTTTGGGTCATTTGATCCAGAAAGGTAACCAAATCCGTCGATTAATAACGCGCGCGCGGTCTCTTTTGGGGCCTGCACACGCCATCTAGTCTCGGGCCATCGATATCTTTGTGTTACAGTTATTAATTGTAGCTATTAAATCTTCATTTCCACAGCTGCCCTGGCTGCTACGTCCTGAAAACACTTTCCCCCGACCAGGCTTTGATCAGGCCCATATAACCGTGGCCGAGGAGGCCGTTTGAGTCGGATCATGTTCGTCCTGAGTGCAGTTATGAACAATAATGCGGCGTTTTATTACATCCAGCGGAAGCATTTATTTTTCACGAGAGACAAAGGAGAGAGGGAGGCGGAGGAAAGGAGGAGGAAGACCCGGTCCAGAATAGCCTCGACTCTTGAACTGACACCAAAAAGTTCAGCTCCATAGCAGGAAGGGAACAGGAGACGATATGCGCCATGCCACAATCGCGCCGACCTTTCCAAACCTTTCCAATGACTGTATTTGTGCACTATTTGGCGCGCACCGTGTCTTTTAGGAGCGTGAAATGTGGATTCTTTGATGAAGAAGAAGAGTAAGCACACAACGCGCGTGCTGTGATTGAAGGTGCTGCTCGGGCTCCTAATAACAAAGCAAACGTTTAAGCGCCGCGCACACTCTGGCACAAAAGAAGGTCGTTTTTAACCATTTAAGGAGGATTTTAATCCAAAACCTTTACTTTAGAACTTTACATGTGCACGTTGGTTCTGCTATACTTAAACCATTAAAACCGCCCAGCTCAGCAAAATGAAAAGCACGTGCAGCATGAAGACACATGTGTTACCTTTTTAGGAGATTAAGGAAGGTCGTCCCTCTCTGCGCCAGAAAGAAAGTAAACAATCTAGTGCCAAAGGTGAGCAAAACGGCTTTATTAATATAATGAATTAGTTTAAAGTATGTGGAGTAAAACAATTAAAGGCTTTATGTTTTCTTGGCAACATTTACCTGTTTTCTCTTTGACCAGAAGATCCAAGGCCATGACTTTGGTTCCATAGCGCCGCCCGGTGGTAGGAGCGTGAAAGCCTTCGGTTCTCCTGAGCTGATTCCATTTGGATCAACCCACGAAAGGCAAGAAGCCTCCCAAATGAAGTCCATGCAGGCAGCGCGCAAAGACTCTCCCAATCCGTCCTCTGCTTGTCGTGGCTGTCGCCTCCTTGGAAACACAGTTAATAACCTTGGGTCTCAGACGGTTTATTGCACCAACACTCCAATTGTACAAATGCTCCAGACTCTCAGACAGCTTTTATGGCCGCGTTGCTGCGGCAACGGTGGGAGGATGTACCGTAATTAGGGACGGAATTCCAGCGCGCAGTAAAGGATGCGCAAGGCAAGGCCGGACTATGGCTGAGCAGAGGCAACCATAAACTTCAGCCTCTCTCTCCCAGCGTTTATGGCCCTTTTGACTGTCATATATGAACGCCAATGCGCTGCGGCCAGCCCTCATAAACACTGTGATAACAACAGCAAATATGGCGACTCTCGCCAAAGGAGGCTGTTGAACGAGCGTTTCCAGCGCCAGTCAGCAAGATGACAGCTTGCGCTCACAAAAAGAGAGAACTTCCCAGAGACAGAGCACTGGAAGGCAAACTGCTGCAAAGTTTGGCAAATGTGCATTCTGTGGATAAACTGAGTTCTCCATGTTGACCGTCTCAGAAATAAAGCTATGCTGCATCAGTTGGTTAACCGCTCGTGCGATTGTTGGTTTGAAAATATATATATATTTTAAATCCTGGCTTGATTTTTGTTATTTTTTATTTAATTTTGTGTGCTATAGTTCTTAAATTTATTGAAAACCTAGTAGCTAACTATTATTGTATAAGATGATATATTTTAAAATAAATTTCAGTCTTTCTGTAGTGTGTATGCATGTATGTGTGTGTGTGTGTGTATGTGTGTGTGTGTCAGCCTGTTTGATTGGAGAGTTCAAATTTTGACAAATATTTTGCACGATTTTATTAGTTTGCTGTGCCCTTTGCTGAAACTTTGCTGTAAGTGCGAGTTTCCATGCGTTGACGTTTTGTGCGTAAAAGGCGCGCATTTGCTCCATCAGAAATAAACACTCAAAAGAATAAATACCAAATGCATTTTTTTTTCATCACCAAGACAGTAGAATTAAGGTGTTATTTATGTTTTCATGTCTTTATTTGGAAATATAATATAATACACAATAATGTGGGCATACCGAGCAGTTGATTCAATGCGATGACCCTGACTGCGCGCACTTGAAAATGCAACATTTTTTGCAATTTTACACCACAAGTAACCAAAAACTTACTGTTTATGATTCTTTTCTTTAAGTGTAATTATCATCAGACCCCCCCCCCCCCTTAAAAAAATTGCCCGCTGCATATTTACGCCACACCTGTGTGAATGTGTTGTATCAGTGCAACTCAACGCGGATCCAGCGGAGCAGCTTATGCCTCTGGTTTGGCCTGAATGGTCTGATAGTCTTCCAAAATGTAAAGAAAACAAAAGAGCTTCAACAGATAGGCAATCTATTAAAAAATCTTCCCTCTCCTTTTTTTTTTTTTTTTTCTTTTACGCAGGCACCGTCAGAGACTACAACAAGCTGGTTTGGAGGTCACCTCTGACTGAATCTCAGCAGCCTTCTTGTGATCAATAAACGAGAGAGTAAACAAGTGGCTACAAATAAATAAGCACAAAAAAACATAAACAGAAACACAATAACCCCATCATGATTTTGGTCACACCAATTGGAATAACCTAAAATCGCCATAGCTTTGATTTTTAACAACAAGACGCATAAAAACAACTTAATTAATCTTTTGATTACAAAATACACTGAAGCAGTCTATTAAAACTGCTGTTTCCCCCGGCACGGTTTGAAAACAATCTTTCAGCTTTAACTTGAATCCTGCAGGGCGGCCACAGAAAACAGCTTCTCAGTTCAAGCTATTTCATATTAGTTGTCCTCGAACTTGAAATTAACCACTCAGGGTGTGTTATTGCTGCCGTCGCGGCCATTATGGCGCACGAAGTCCACTTGCAGGAGAGCCAGGGAGCCTGTAAACGTATAGCCAGTCCCCACGCAGGGAGTGGGACCACCGGAGCTGCTCTCGTTGCCCCCTAAAGCAGGGGATTGGACGTGTAATACTGTAATCTGTCCCTGTTCAGTTTCTTCTCTTTCATGCGGCGGTTCTGGAACCAGATCTTGACTTGTCGGTCGGTGAGGTTGAGCATCCGAGACAGTTGCAGCCGTTTCTCCTTGTTGATGTAGACGCTGAAAAAGAACTCTCGTTCCAGTTCTCTGATCTGATATTTGGAGTAAGGGCACCTCTTCTTGCGGATCCTTTGTCCACCTGCAAGTCACACAACAGAGAGAGCACCAGTCACAAAATAAAAGCTTGGATTCTCCATTAGTAACACATTTACAGTGAAAATAATGGCAAAGCATTTCGTGTTGGTTTAAAGCACACTGATTTTTTTAAAATAAATACAAAACAATCTTCCTTTCATGTCCACAGCAGCTCACTGCTGCATTGAATACGTTTTTTTTTAGAAAAACTATTTTTTGTGCAGAATATAAACCCACGAATAAATGAGAGCACATTAAAAATTATATGATATATTTAACACACAAAGTTTGTGTTATGACTTTAAAAGGCACCTTAAGAACTGCTTTAATGCAAAGGAAGCGTGAAACAAGCTCGCTCCTAATAAAGACAAAATAACAATAATGCGTTTTCTCCAGAAACTTCAGGGACAGCAGAAGAAAAAAAAAACAATTTTTAATATGCTCTCATTATAAAAATATATATATTAAAAAATATATATAATAT